TTCCAAGATTGGGGCGGACGGGCGGGCGAAAAAAAAGGCAAAAAAATAAAAATATATATGCTGTTCAATATTCAAATATGATCGATATCATATTTGAGAATCATGGTAACGACAATACAGTTTGCCCCTAGGTTCCCTACCTATACTAGAGCTAGAGCTCTTCAATCTAGAAGTTTGAAGGATATTTTGCCTTTTTCTGATGAGTCTTCAGCGAACTCGGATGTTTTGTTGTCAGGGTATGGGTGGCAATTCTTCTGCTCCACTCCATGTTGCTAACCTTTTCGTGTGGTTTCTGACAGAGTCTTTGTGATTTGTCACAGAGTCTTTGCAATGATATGTGTTATAATAAGATAAAGTGGTAATTATAGTTTTAGTTTGTGGTAGTAAAGACTATAATTTTCCTAAACAACACATAATATTATCTTGCAACTTTATAATTTACTTAAATAAATATAACAATAGCATAGATATAATTTTTATCATAACTTGCAATGAAAGTCATTTTGATGATAAATATGAGTAAAACATCCAGATTAACAACCCTTGAAGAACTGGATATTCATAACGAATTATGTCAGTCGCCCAAGTGAACAAGTCATAAGATAAGATGATTTCTTTATTATCTCAAGGGAAATGTTGTGTGCATCATGTACAGTTCTCCATTCTATATTACCTGCAAGTGATTGCAAGTCACAATATCATTACCTCTCGAAATGGAACCCATACAAATATACTGAACAGCAAAAGAAACGCAAGTCTGGCTTTTTGTCAAGTTTTTAAATAGACAACCAAAATTATGTCTAATCATTTATTCTATAGACAACACTGTCAATGTAACAGCTGAAAGTTGCTGTTGACATTGAATTGCAATAAGTTCAAATTGATCACAGGCCGTCAAATGAAGATACCCCTGAACGCGAAAAGTGACAATCTCTTTATTGGAGCTTATAGGCACCTTGAGCTTGCACACAGGCCGTGCAACGTCGCCTCATTGAGTTCACTAGAACGACACCCTTGCTGTGTGAGGGCTGTAAACGTCGCTTTGGGCTGTAAACGTCAAAATTGGCCCCGCTTATGACCGTTGGCAGTGGATTCCAGCAGCCCGAAGACGACGCCTAATCATGTCGCTAGACACTGCTCTCATTGACCAATAAAGTAAGGCTGCTGCTACTGTTGCCGCTAGAGTTCGGTTCCTTAGATGAGTAACCTGGATGAACCGATCTTGCGCATAAGTTGTCACTCGTGGACGTGCGGTATGGGGACGATCAGCAGCAGCCCCGGTTTGCTGATGACATTGACAAGCCATGTAATGGTGGTAAGATGACAGCCCAACTGTCTAGCTACAGCAGTTGCAGAGCTACCTCCGTGCAACTTTCCATTGGCCATTCCCTCTGCTCTGTCGTTAGTCTAGGCGTCGTTTGTGTGGCGTGTACACCTAGCGTCAATACTCAACTGTTTTCTGACACAAAGCTTTAAGGATACCTCAGAGTGAAATACATGCTTTCCATCCAGAACCGTCGATACACGTGCTAAAATTATGGTTTTGCTGCACTGTGGATGTGTTTGTGCGAATGTTTCGTACGGACGTTAAATTGCATGACATCATCTCATCTGGGATCATTACATCACTTTACCATGAACGTTCTATAAACATGAAAGCTTACTTTTATGAGATTTCATTTTTTTCGAAACTTGCGTTTCTTTTGCTGTTAAGTAAAGATAGTACAAAGCCCCATTCACAATGCTTAACTCACATAGTCTGTACAGAAACAATTATTTTAAGAAGAAGAAAATTTAGACAATGTTCATGATGATTTTGATGATGATTGTGATCTACAAATTGTTGTAGATAAATGATGACGGCTTCAAAATGTAAAGCGTTCTCTCATGTAACGCAATGTGTGAATAAACACTACAAGCTTGAGGAACAAACTGTAGTGTTACATCCCTGTTCAAGTGGTGATTTATGGCTACTTTAATCCCATAAGTGGATTCATTACATTGTTTTTATTGAACTATATATTTCCGGAATATTGAAGTAAATCTAAGCATAGAGAAAACTATGCCTACAGGACATTTATTGTACCTTACCCTCACCTTAGAGATGCTCCCGTTCCCCATCCCAAATAATAGTTATAAATATACTAAAATTATTAACAAAACTTGACACAACATATACTAAAGAACTCACAAAATGACTAAAAGTCCAAAATTTAAGTTAGGTTTAGGGTTAGGTTTAGAGTTAGGTTTAGGGTTGGGGGAACGGAAGGAACTCTTTCCGCTAAGATCACAAAGACTCTGTCACAAATCATAAAGTTTTTGTCGCAAAAATCACAAAGACTCCACTCTCACTGTAACCAAGTTCCCTACCAATGATACACGATATTGTGGAGTTGACCGCCATATTTGCGCGTGAAAACTTATGTACACTTTGATGAATAATTTGGTTTCTTATAAAAAAAATATTGACTTTGATAAAAATGCTGATTTTGATGTAAAATATTGATTTCATGGTAATGTTGACTTTATAAAAATGTTAACCTAAATGGATGTAGAATATTATTTAAGAAAAAGTTTGACCGTGAATTTGGTGAAAAGCCTGATATAATAGCATTGTTTTGAAAGTAAGCCTAACAAAGTACATGGGGAGTCTTGGGGAGAGTAGTGAGCTTGGGTTCAATACTAGTCAATCTGAATGTTGTATTAAATGGCATTATTTTGATAACAAATAAAAATTTCTGCCATCTGCCAGTGGTAAAAAATGATAGAACTGAAATAACTAAGTCAATGTACGTCTTTATATTTGTCTTATAATCCTAATTAATATGTTATCATATTTGTATGCATTTAGAAACTTAATAAAATGCACACGATCTGCTAACACATAGTGAATTTATAACATGACTGTAATATCTAGACATCTTATAGATTGCCAACGTGAATCATATTTTACACACAAAAACTGATTCTGTTGAATGCCATAATAAATAAGTAAAAACAAAATGCAAATATTAAAAGTAAAACAGACTAAAGTTATAACAACAATATCAGGCTATTACCTTGTTCGGGGAATGTATCAAACAATATCCACGTGAAGGAATGAGATGCCATTCATCTGCAGCTGACAAAGAATCCTGTTCCATGTCATGTGTCTTTTAACAGTCTAATATGCGAAAACGTGATCTATCGTTTCAGGTTTTCACATTGGTGTGTAGTCCCATTGGTCACCCAAGATAGCACACCTGGCAACTAATTGCATGATGTCTGCCATTCTTTAAAAAGTAATTTAGTTAGCCAATAATGAGCAATCAATCAATGAATTGGAGGTTAATCCTTTGAAGGAAAGACGTTGTTTTTATAAAGAGACTTTCCGACGGAGTGTATTCAGTATAGATTAGTAAATCTACATCCATAAACACTACCTTTTGACAAATCCGCTGTGCAGGATAAATGCAATTAATCAATCAGCGTGTTATCGGTTAATCCTTTGATCGATGTTTGTTTTGTAACTCAGCTGATAATTCCTCTTGCTGCACTTCCATGAGCATATTACATAAGATGTAATACATTTGGCACATCAGACCTCAATTTATAATGATGAGTATTTACTCCAGACACAAGAAATGCCAAAATGGGAACCTTTGTCGGGTAATCTGAGTGGTAATATCGAGGTGAAAACACAGAAATAGGATCAAATTGGATCAGTCTCTATACCATCCAAATATTTGAAAATCTGAAAAAGCCTACACTGCTGGGATACTTAATTACAATCAAATAAGAACTACTGGGGATATTTTCAAATAACGGCATCTGATGGGCATTCACCCTTCCTAATGTCCCTCTGATTAAATTGAAGAAATTCTGCCAAGGTGGACAGTAGCCCAGTCCCCGTGTCTGTCACGGTTGAGGGAGCAGGTAGTGATCAGCCTGCAGCTCGGTTTCGTCATGAGACTGTTGGCTAGAAACATTAATCGCTCTGGATCAGTGGTCCTTTAATACATTTATAACTAAATTTTTATTTTTTCTTGTGGTGAAACATTTTTTTTTTAATGGGCGGTGTACAATTGAGAATGGTCGGCGCAAAGTTTAGAAATAAAAATAGTTTTTTAATTGTATGGGCGGGTGAGATTTTTACGGGCGGCGGGAGATAAGAAACACACAATTACAAAGCTGAAACATGAGTCTCATTATCCTATTCAGACAACGACCTACTTTTGAGCCGATCCGAACTTTCTTGTGTGAAAGTGAAAATAGACATCACAAACAACTATGGTTACTCTGAATTCCAATTTCTTGTTTCATAAGAAAATGGTATTTACAAATTAATTTTAATTTTAAACTTTAGTAACATCGTATTTCTATATTTTATGGCGAGGTGAAGGCAGCATGACTTTAACTAAGACGTCACAGACTGCCCCTGTTTGGTGAGGTCGTAAAATGATTCACAATGCATCTGGCTCACTGGTTACACCTGTTTCGTATTTTTCGCGCTTATTCGGTGTAGTTCTGTAACGCACAATGTGAATGATACAATATCAAGTCCGTACCAGACCGCCAAACGTTTCTAGTGGGAGAGCCTCGTTTTGAAATTTCCACGATTTCCAGGTTTCCGTTTGTCAGAGCTCGCTGTACGACAGAGCACGCTGCACGACGTGTTTGCAAGGAGTAGAAGGAGCGTAGTGTTGCAATATACAAGTGCTTAGATGTATCAAATAATACTGATTAATAATTATGTATCCAGTTAAATGAATTGGTCTAAAAATTCTGGTCTGGTTATTGTACTAAGTTGCGCAGTAGGACGGGACCCAGTCAACAGGAAACGAGACTGTTGTGTAATCAATGTTTTGACTTGATACGGACGCCCTTATAGATTATTCACGAAGTTAATCAATATGTATTTCGCAGAGATTCTTAAGGCAAGACAAAACACCACAAGAAAGCTTTGAACTGCAAACCACGTGATTTATCTCTCGATATAACCCCTCACAGTGAAGGTGACATACGACGACGAGAGAATAGTGCGTTCCAACTATGCCTTGCTGGTCGGGATCACCCTGTGTTGTTAGCGTAATTCTATGGATATTTTCACTGATAGAGTTATGTAAGTATACGTTTCTTGTATGTGACATATTCTAGTTTGCCTTTAACTTCTTTGAGTGGCATTTGGGAAGTTGGGATGAAGTTTATGTTAAGTATGTTGTTTTCTTTGTTACATTCAGTATGTATACATCTTCTACACATGTTATATTCAGGGCGGTGGGATAGCCTTGTGGTTAAAGCATCCGCTCGTCACGTCGAAGACCCGGGTTCGATTCCCCACATGGGTACAATGTGTGAAGTCCATTTCTTGTGTTCCCTGCCGTGATATTGCCGGAATATTGCTAAAATCGGCGTAAAACTAAATTCATTCACTCACTCATGTTATATTCCTACTTGACGACGGTACAAGAATCTGTATCGAAACGTCGCACACACAAAATAGAAGAAGTTGTTATCCATAAAGTTTGACAATATTGTAGTTTGCCTTTGTTCAGAATATCAGTACGTGCTTAAACTACTTTGAGTCTCATTTAAAAGCTGGTGTGATGAACAACGGGAGAGATCTATGGATATACAACTTCTTTACTATTAATATCAGCGACGTTTCAGTGTAGCTACTAACCGTGATATCACTTTCTTCATAACGGTGTTAGTAGCTAATTTACACCAAAACGTCGCTCATTTTAATAGTAAAGAAATTGTATATACATAGAACTCTCTCCATTGTTAATTACAAGTGGTCTGAATTCCTAGAGCCACCAGCTAATTTCAGGTATTGTTCTGTATAAAAGGTGAATGATTGGATACGTCCGAGAGTGCGTGAGTGAGTGAATGAGTTTTTATACGCACTGAGTTTATAAAAGGGCGTGTGTTCCGTATGTGGGAGAACGCCCGACATGATGAATGTCTTTGAGACTTACTGCTATTGTAGAACACAAGCACAGACATTGACATCAAACCAAGGAGCGAGTGAGTGAGTTGGGTTTTATAGCGCTATATAAATACCCATACATATAATAATAATACCAAGGATTTTAAGGTTTCACTGTGCTTACCAATCCATTTCTGGTCCTTATGTATATTTTAGTAAAATCAAATCCTGCCAACATTGCGCTGAACAAGTTCTCCAAACAGTCCCAAAGTTATGGCTACGACCGTCCAGAAAGAGGCAATGACGGCAACACAAGCACGAACTATGACCTGGGTTCCTGTGTCCACGGACATCCAAGTACGGTCTATCCCCTACCATGGTGGCAAGTGGATTTGGAATGGATGTACTACGTAACATCCGTGGTAATCACCAACAGAGATCATCACAATGGTGCGTATTTGATCTGTATGAACAACTTGTACACATTAGCTCACCTGCCCTGACGTTCCGGGTTAGATCTGGGTTAAAATTGGTCTCCAGCAACCCATGCTTTTCTTAAGAGGCGGTGGATTATCTGGTTCAGACTCGGTTATTTACAGGTCGATATCTTGCAGCTGGAATGATGAGTGTGGCGTTGAACAAAAAACAAACAAATAAAGTTTTTCTCCGAAATGGCTTGACTCAGCTTAAATATTGTGTCAGGAACAATTCAAGTTTAAAAAAATTTAATTTTAATTTCAATTTCAGTGCCTGTGCTTTATGGTGGGGTAATCCACTTGTGGTCAGTTTTTAGATCGTCATTTCAGCTAAACAATGTTCAGATTTCATAATGTTTAGGAAACATTCCTCGCAACGATGTTCAAAACAACAACACAACTATTTCAACAGAATGTCCATACTGTAGGTCGAATAACATAGGCTCTTCGTTAAACAAAACGTAACAAAACGTCGGCACAAATTTCATCTCACGTTTTATGTCTCTGAGCTAACGGGATAGGGTGGTCAGGCTTGCTGACACAGGTCATCGCATCCCAGTAATCTCTTGTAGGACCTTTCAGGTGTGATTTTATCACCTTAATGTTATCAAGAAATCAATTGTAGTGGTAAAACCCACCTGATATGTTTGTTCAGGATGTCAATCACTGGATTGTCTGGTCCAGACTCGATTAATCACAGACCGCCGCCATATAGCTGGAATATTGCTGAGTACGGCGTTAAACAACAGAAAAATAAACAAAAGTGACCTGGGATACTGGTCACGGATGGTCTAGGGTTAGGATCATTAAATGCAAGACGAGCTAAAATGTCCTTAACAACAGAATAATCATGTCTTCTGGAGTATCTGTTCCATCAACGATATCTTCAGTACCTTGATATGTTGAAATCTGTCCAGCTGCTCATGAGTCGAAAAAAAACCATAGTCTACAACAGATTTTATCCGATATAGAACAAACTTTATGGATAACAACTTCTTTTATTCGTGAGTGCGACGTTTCGATACAAGCTTGACAACGGTACAAGAATCTGTATCGAAACGTCGCACTCACGAATAAAAAGAAGTTGTTATCCATAAAGTTTGTTCTATATTGTACTTCCCAACTTCCAAAAATGCCACTCAAAGAAGATTTTATCCGTCCTTTACGTACATGAAATCTTGTTTCCCAAAGCGACTATTTAGCATACTTAGATTGAGTGAGTGAGTGAGTTGGCTTTAACGCCGCTTTTAGCAATATTCCAGCAATATCACGGCGGGGGACACCATAAATGGGCTTCACACATTGTGCCCATGTGGGGATTCGAACCCGGGTCGTCAGCGTGACGAGCCGACGCTTTAACCATTAGGCTACCCCACCGCCCCTCATACTTAGATTGAAGTAAACTAGGAAGTTTTCTTAAGTCAGTGATGTCTCTAGTGAGACGTTTATCACACCCTAGACACGCGATTTGAAATCGCCACAAATATTTCTCATTATGACAGAAAATACTAATTAATCTTCCAAATGCAGTTTACCTTCATTAACTGGAACAAACAGGGTGAATGTAACAACACGTGATTTTAAAAACTCAAGGTCATATTTTCGCACCAGCTTGTGCAACATCGTGCATCTGTAATACTGCTGAAACAAATATGTACTCATGATATAGTCTCAATTGCATATTCGACGTTGCTTTCAGCAGAGATTTCTTAACGATGTGGAAAGGGGTTTGTCACTCTATTCTTTAAAAAAGTGCCTTCAGCTACATACTTTTTCTTGCCCAGGGGTTTACATCGCTTCTGGTCTCGCCAGCCCGTGTATTGTACATTAGGGGAGTATTGCTTTCTTACGTAAAGTTAATGCGGACTAATTTGAAAATATGGAAATAACTGTCGGTTTTTGAATGTCAGATCTTTACGGTTCCCCATTATCAGCGTCTTCAAATGCATAGAATCAAAACTCAATCAGTTAATGGTAGAACATGGTTGTTTGTTGTTTAATGCTGCACTCAGCAATAGTCCAGCTATATGGAGGCGGTCTGTAAATAATCAAGTCTGGACCAGAAAATCATTAAATCATAAGCACGGATCTACGCCATTGGGATAAGTGTCAACCAAGTCAGCGAGAATGACCACCTGGACCCGTCAGTCGCCTCCTACGACAAGCAGGGGTTGCTGAAGACCAGTTCTAACACGGACCTTCACGGGTTATGCTAGAACAGTCGATAATCGTTCACAGTTCACTTACTGGTAGTCACTTTGCTTGGCTGGAACATACGGCCAAGTTTTTATCTACCCAACCTGTCGGCAAAGTAAGAAGAAGCCCTTACCACAGGGTAAAACAGCAGAAGCTTGATTTCAGAATCTCATATAATTTACTGTTATTTGGTGATACTAGACCTTGCCTTTGGTGAGTTTTTGTACCATGTACCATTTTCAGCATGGCGTCTTCACAACTTCACAATCGAGCTTTATTGTGAAGACCCGACGGTTCACCTGAACGCTGCTGCTAAAGTATGCGCCGTATACCCAGGCACAGTGGCCTCTGGGGCAAGGGTAACTCTCACGTGTGCTCCGGGGGTGAGGGGACGTTACCTGAGGTTCCAGAAGAACAGCGTGAAAACAGATGACGCAGTGCAATTCTGTGAACTAGAAGCCTATGGTTTCAACGGTAAGCACATTTTACACACTATCTAAAGTTTACAACTTACAAATAGATGCTTGATGGGCAATTACACGTTGGAGGGTAACATAACAACGTATGGTATGTATTTACAACACGACGTTTCTGGGCTTTTCATCACTACTTCTTGCCCCTTCATCAGTAGTGCATTCACTTGATGAAGGGGCTAGAAGTAGGCCAGAAATAATAAAGAAGTTGTAAATCCATACCATACGTTGTTAATTTACAATTTAGCCTTTGTTATGAATGACATCCAATGTATTGTCATCACAGGAACAAGGTCGACGTTCTCTGGACACCCTACCCTGCGTCTGTCAGGGACCCCGACCAGAGAGGAGACGGGGAGCCCACAGTTCTGTGGAGAGGTCTGCCATCGCATGCCATGCTGTACTGGTTTCAACTTTCACAGCATTGAGGGTTCCTGCAAGTTCATGTCTAATGATAATGGGGAACTTGTGGCTGATGCAGCATGGAACTACTTCTCTAGAAACTAATGTGTATTTAAACGATCAGAAACTGTATTGTACTAATGGCATTTTTCACATTTCTTGCAAAATAATAGAGCATGTAAGAGCATTCCCTTTCGAGTTGACCCTATGTTTTGTCCTCAATTCACATGCATCATGGTATGACAGGGATTCGACTTCAGAATGTTTGTGGTAAAACAAGCTCGAAACCTTGCTAAATGACACTATTCATTTAGTCGAGCAATACTTTACCAGATGAGACGTTCTACGTCTGGGGTCTCTTTTACTGAAGAGCTATAAGTTTGGAATACCAAATCTCACTATTCCGAACGTTCCGCCACTGTGTTCTTGTATGTAAAGCCTTTACAGATTTATGTTACCTAAAGTACCACATCACGCCACTAACATTGTTTGTCAGTTTAATGAATTCTGAATGAAATCATACTTTGTTGAAGGCGGATGTAACATTTTACGCCGCTTTTAGCAATATACCAGCAATATCACGGCGGGAGACACAGAAATGTGCTTCACACATTGTACCCACTTGGGGTTATCGAACTCGAGTCCTTGGCATGATGAGGGATGGCTTTAACACTAGGCTACCCTACCGCCCCCATACATTGTTGACCCGAGGTAGATATGTACTTCTTGCTTTTACATTGTACCCGTCTCTCCGTTAGTGATGCGTTTGTATACATTCTACTCACACATGTATCTCAATACAGAATTGTGTTCCAATTTGAAGAACTGTATTTTATATTTTGTGAACTGTATGTCTTCTGGTGCTGTGACTGAATATATCATCCCCTTGTCTGTTATCGCGCCACCTTCAATAACGATTTGAAAGAACAGCGCCTCGCTTTCTAAAATGTCCCAACTCTGCCGTTCATGTGCCGTTTTTAGCTTCATTGATCAACTGGTATTTTATAGACCAGCACCTCACGTGAAATCGTTTCAACCTTTCAGCATCTGGCCTTTGAAACAGCAATTATTGGTGCTGTCACCTGTAAATCAGTGTAATATGTATTCCCTGAAGATGCGAAGGTTCATCTGCTTGTTGAACCTGCGCTGGATTCTTCAAACAAAGGAAACGGCTCGTCCTGAAGGAGGGGGGTAGTAGGGAAGATTCCGTCTCCGTCTCCAGAGCTCATGAAATTAGACGAACGTTTCGGAATTTTGAAAATTAGATGGATGTCAATCTCTCGCTTAAACCCAATACGGTTCACGTTAAAACAACCGTTCGTGCAACCAATCAGAGTTGTGGACTAGTATTTCTAGTAAGATCTATACTTCCCATCAAAAGTTTAGACTCACTTAAAACACTCACTATATGGTGTGTGTGGGGTGGTGGGGTGTGGGGGTGTGTGTGTGTGTGTGTGTGTGTGTGTGTGGTTACATCGAAGATTGATTTCTCCATTAACTTGGGGGAACCAATTGCAAACCTTACATGTATGCGGATGAACTGCATCAAATTGCAGAAAAGCATGTGCAAATATCATGCATGTGAACAGCTGCGTTTTGGTGTACATTTTCACTGAGTTTTATCATTTCTTGAACTCATGACAATAATCTTTTCAACTGTGCGAATTTGTTTTACAATACAGAAGTTCATGTATAAACAGTACCTTTAAACAGTATGGAATATTTTGCAAAAATGTAGTTCAGAACAGTTGCTTGATGTAAGTGGCTATATTTACACTAGTGAGTCAAAACTTTTGATGGGAAGTATATTTGTAACTTCGGGAGACCTGTTGTTGTTTCGCGCTGTGATTTTCAGTTAGAGAAACTGTATCTATCCCGTTAACGTACAGTAGGATTTCCTTAACCGTGTCACTCGCACTAAAAACATTTTTGTCTCAAGACAATCAGTTATCCAATATACACTAAACGCCAAAAGAAACGTTACCCTCCTTCCTTAATGACGGAGGTACCTTTCTTCAGCTGGCGTTGTGATGCGTGGACGTCCACTTAATTCTTGGTCTGTCTACGGTTATCCCAGTCTGTCTGAAACCCTGAATAAGTCTTATGACCGTGATACGGTGGCATCCGTGGGCGTTGGCAACAGCATTGTATGTCGACCCCATCTGCACCATCCCAATGGCTCTTTCTCTCCCTTCAGCTGTTAATCGTGGCATATTTCTCGTACTTGTGTATCAAATCATGTCTTCTAGGCTCTCTTTATACCCTATAGAATCATTCTGCATGTGAAATGGATGTAAATACTGTTTGAATATTGCTGCGTTTTGGCGATTGATATTGGTATGTGTAAAATGGAAATGGAAAAATGTTACTTTGCAAGCAAAAATGTTAACAAAGATTGTAGATGTTCCTAAACATTTTTTCACAATATCAAAGACACGTTTTACTTGTTTTCACTAATGCAAATTAGCAGAAAATGTTTTAAAAGACTGAAATCATAGCAATGATTATTTTACAATTTTACACACTCTACAACAGTTGTTTCTTGTTTTAATAGTTGAAATATGGTGACTTTAAATGGTTTATCATTGTCCCAAAAGCAGAATTTTATTTCAACCTTTCTTTTGGACATCAAAATCACTATTATTGGTTTATTTCGGCATGGACGAATATAGGACAATTTAACTCTTCTGAAAAAGATGCATTTCACCCAAATATGAATGCATTTGAGAATTTTTTTCGTGATTTGCATAAAGCTGTGTTGTTAAGCTTTCTTGTAAACTAAAACCTTCTAAAATATCTTTGATAGTTTTTCAGTAATTCATAAAGGTAGGAGGGTAACGTTTCTTTTGGCGTCTAGTGTATTATCGAACGAATGATATTGCTGGGCTGGTACACAGTACATCTTCGATGAAAAATAATATTTTTCATATGGAGGTAAACAATTATTGAATTTATTTTTACATAGCTGTTTTAATGTCTTTATTTACCCAGACTGACGACATGCATTGTCAATTCTACAGGAAGCGTTAACATTAACTTAAATATTAAAACACCAATTACTGATCTAAGAAACCCAAGCTGTTTCGTTTCCAGTCAAAGAGACTACTGTTCAATATTTCAGTCTTATTATTTCTGTTATAGCGTAGCCAAAACCCAGTCAGTACATTCCTGAAATTACAATTCAAAGGAATGTTCCATCCTTTATTGCCAACACATTTCCCATTTACAATATTGTGATACTAATTACACGAATAGAAATCAATCATCAGAAAATCAATTTCCACGGTAAGGGAATGAGTGAGTGTGTCAGGTTTTATGCTAATTTTAGCAATATTCCAGCAATATCACGGCGGGTGACACCAGAAATGGACTTCACACATTCTACCCATGTTGGGAATCGAACACGGGTCTTCGGCGTGACGAGCGAACGCTTTAACCACTAGGCTACCCCACCGTCCCGCAACGATCCAGACATGTTTGAGGCACATATTGTGACATTTCGCCCGTGGACGTGACTGTGGATTAACTAGTCAAACACAGATGGGGGTTTTGGGGAGGACTAAATATTATTGTTTGAATAGTTTAAGTGACTGAGTGAGTATGGTTTTACGCCGCTTTTAGCAATATTCCAGCAATATCACAGCGGGGCACATCAGAAATGGGTTTCACACATTGTAGCCATGTCAGGAATCGAACCTGGGTCTTCGGCTTGACGAACGAACGCTTTAACCACTAGGCTACCACACCGCCCCCATGTTCATAAAAGAGCGGGTACAGTAAAACAAAATCATATACACATGCCGTTGTTCTTAGAATTGTATTTTAGCTCATTTCTTGACCGTGAGGATTATGGGTCTGTGAAAACCCATCCGGTGCCCACCCACCCTCACACCCTTTGAAAAGCACCATTCTCTGGGCCTGTATTATCAAATGAACCTTCGTGTATAAAGGATTATTATGTCTACATAACTCCCACTTCATTTGGTCACAGTTCGTGTGATATTGATGTAAATACAGTGACTGTGAGTGACTGCATGTGGTTTTTACGCCTCTTTCAGCAATATTCCAGCAATATCACGGCGGGAGACACTAGAAATGGGCTTCACACATTGTAGCCATGTAGGGAATCGAACCCGTGTCTTCAGCTTGACGAGCGGACACTTTAACCACTAGGCTAGCCCACCGCCCCTGAAGTAATTACATGTCCGTCAAAGCGAAACCTTTATTCCCAAACATGTTTCCCTCGTGAAGGTCCTGGTTAGGATCGGTCTTCAGCAACCAATGTTTGTTTCCCATCTTGAAGCATTTGGTCTTTATGATAGATATCAGTCGGCATATAGAGCCTGTCATAGCACAGAAACATGTCTGTTAAGAGTTACAAACGATCTTCTGCGCTCTACAGATAAGCGGAACTTAAATCTGCTAGTGCTATTAGACCTGACTGCGGCATTCGACACAATCGATCATGACAAGTTATTTCACTGCCTCAAGACACGAATTGGATTGTCAGGAACTGCTCTCAAGTGGTTTGAATCCTATCTTCATCATAGATGCCAATCAGTGGTTATCGATAAAACTTCATCAGATCCAGTTCCCCTTAACTGCGGCATACCTCAGGGTTCGGTCCTTCGACCGATCCTATTCACCTTTCTTTTGTGATGTCATCGATGCCCATGACGTTGCTCATCACTGATGACACACAGCTACACCAATCATTTCCCGAACGAGATACCTCCACAGCACTTAGTGACCTTGAACACTGCACACCTGGGATAAAATCATGGATGGTGACTAACAAACTTAAGTTAAACGACAGCAAGACAGGTTCTTCTTGTGGGTACAGACACCAAACGAAAATCTATCTCTGAATCTTCGCTTCGTATTGGTGATTCATTAATACCATTTTCTGATGCAGTGAAAGATCTTGGTGTCTTTCTAGACTCTAATATGACAATGGACAACCATATACAGCACACCTGTAGAATCTGCTTCTACCACCTGAGAAGTATTGGCCAGATTAGACATTTGTTGACTCAGGAAGCCACTAGCCAGTTAGTCAGGTCTCTGATTCTGTCCAGGATTGACTATGGCAACAGTTTGCTTATCAACATAAGGCAAGATCTACTCATGAAGCTTCAGAGAGTACAAAATGCCTCAGCTCGGCTAATTCATCGCTGCAAGAAAACATCCAATGTAACACCAATATTGATGAATCTCCACTGGCTCCCAGTA